CTCCCCCCTCCCACTCTTGTGGTCCCTTGATAGATTACAAATTGTTATTATTTTCATATCTCATACCAACCGCTGTCTCCCCTTCCCCCATGGTTTCTGTTGTTCTTCCCCCTGGAGGGGTGTTTGTGGTTGTGTATTGACCAATATGATCGGTTCCCCCTTCTTCCCCTTCCCCCTTCTCCCTATCCTCAATTCAGAAATCTTGAAGTCAATCATAAGAATGTGTAGTTGGCCAAAATAACTATTTTTACCATTCCTGTGGACTAAGATCTTCATGCCCACAATTTAATATTTCCAAAATAGAAAATAATGTAGACTAAGGCCTAGAATATGAAAGGATTCTGTGCGCAAATTATTGAATGAAGTAAAAAACATCAAAAAAATGAAAGAATACACAGTTATTATATTAAAAAAAACCTATTCCACATTCAAATGTTTCAAGAGGTAGCATTTAAGCAAGAACCCATGCTACTGAACGAAGAAGTCCAAGCTGCAATGAGAGCATTAACCAAAAAGCAGGCTTCAGGAATTGATGGAATACGAATTAAAATGTTTCAACAAGCGGATGAAGCACTAGAAGCACTCACTTGCCATGGCCAGGAAATTTGGATGACAGCTACTTGACCAACCGACTGGAAGAGATCCATATTTGTACCCATTCCAAAGAAAGGTGACCAACCAGAATGCACAAATTATAGGACAATGTCATTTTGATATCACACGCAAGAAAAATGTTGCTGAAGATCATCCAACAATAGTTGCAATAGTGTTTTGACAGGAACCTGAAACAAGGGCTATCACTGTTGAGGTCAGATTGATCTTGACTGAAAGCAGCGGACACCAGAACGGCGTTGATTTGCGTTTCATTGACTGTGCTAAGGCATTTGACGTGTGGATGGTTGCAGACTGTGGAAAGTCTTGAGATGAATGGAATCCCAGAAGACTATGTTGTGCTGATGGGGAACCTAAACGTGGATCAAGACACAGTTGTTCAAATGGAACGAGGAACTATTGCCTGGTTTGAAATCAGGACAGGCGTGTACCAGAGTTCCCTCCCTTCACTATCCTTTTCAACCTGTGTGATGATCAAATCATCAAAGAAGCTGGAGTATATGCAGAAGAATGTGGCATCAGGATTAAAGGAAGGCTATTAGCAACCGGCAATGTGCAGGTGACACAACCTGGCTTGTTGAAAGTGAGGAGGGCTTGAAGCACTTGCTGATGAAGATCAAGGACTGCAGCCGTCAGTACGAATGACAATTCAATGTAAAGAAAATAAAAATCTTCACCAAGTGGACTATTTTATATCCTAGGTAGATCTTTAAGTATGGTAGGAGATTTTAGATATTAAGGTATTGATCTCTTGAGTTTTAATACATCAAATCAAATCAAACCCACTGCCAACAGATGTGATTCCAATGTATAGAGATCTTATAGGGCAGAGTAGAATTGCTCCATAGGGTTTTGGAGGCAGTAAATCTAAAATTTAGAGAAGACTGCCCCGTTGTTCTGTCAGGGAGCGTCTGGTGGGTGTGTACCACTGATATTTGAGTTAGTAGCTCAGGGGGTCCTGAGTAATGAAATGAGTAATGATCACTACACAGATTCGGCACTCCTCACAAATGTGACATACTGATAGAATGGAACAAAAAATAATTTTGAGCTATTTGGCACAAATCTTTAAAATGTGATTAATGATTGTTTTTATTCAGTCCTAATCATAAAATAGTAAGTCCATGTTGAACAATATTTTTAATCCTGTTGCTTCGAACTTTGATTGCTGTTTTTATTACAAAGAAAAGTTACACTTTCTACATCCTCAAAATTAAGTACAGTTGCCGTGTACTTTACTGGTGGGAATACAAATGATACTTTGGAAAAGGTTTGGCAGTTTCCTAAAATGTAAACATAGAGTTACTATGTGACCCAGCAAGCAATTCTACTCTTTTGGTATCTCCTCAAGAGAACTGAAAACACACATCTGCAAAACACTTGTACACAAATGTTCATAGCAACATTATTTACAATAGCCAGCAAAGTAGAAACAACTCAAATTTCTATCAGCTGGTAAGTGGACACATAAAATTAAGCACACGAGCCTGTGCGAATACGAGGTGTTGAAGGGAACAGGCAGCAGACGCCAAAGAACAAAAACCATCATTGTGTGACCACCTTCCCCACAGAAACGCTGAAGACGAATGTGTGCATAAGTAAGTGTGGTGAAGAAGACTGATGGTGCC